GTGTACCAACTGGCTCTATAGCATCACGCCTGGTCAGATTGCATGGATGTGTGTACCAACTGGCTCTTTACCACCATGCCTGGTCAGATGGCATGGATGTATGTGCCAACTGGCTCTATACCACAAGACTGGTCAGATGGCATGGATGTGTGTACCAACTGGCTCTTTACCACCATGCCTGAGTCAGATGGCATGGATGCCTGTCAGATTGCTGGATGTGGCTCTATACCACCATGCCTGGTCAGATGGCATGGATGTATGTGCCAACTGGCTCTATACCACCATGCCTGGTCAGATCGTCATGGATGTGTGTACCAACTGGCTCTTTACCACCATGCCTGGTGAGATGGCATGGATGTATGTGCCAACTGGCTCAATACCACCATGCCTGGTCAGATGGCATGGATGTGTGTACCAACTGGCTCTTTACCACCATGCCTGGTGAGATGGCATGGATGTATGTGCTGACTGGCTCTATACAACCATGCCTGGTGAGATGGCATGGATGTATGTGCTGACTGGCTCTATACCACCATGCCTGGTGAGATGGCATGGATGTATGTGCTGACTGGCTCTATACCACCATGCCTGGTGAGATGGCATGGATGTATGTGCCAACTGGTTCTATACTACCATGTCTGGTCAGATGGCATGGATGTGTGTGCCCACTGGCTCTATAGCATCACGCCTGGTCAGATTGCATGGATGTATGTACCGACTGGCTCTATACCACCATGCCTGGTCAGATGGCATGGATGTGTGTGCTGACTGGCTCTATAGCATCACGCCTGGTCAGATGGCATGGATGTGTGTACCGACTGGCTCTATACCACCATGCCTGGTCAGATGGCATGGATGTGTGTGCCGACTGGCTCTATAGCATCACGCCTGGTCAGATTGCATGGATGTGTGTGCCGACTGGCTCTATAGCATCACGCCTGGTCAGATTGCATTGATGTGCAGGCTGACCTGGCTCTATACCACCACGCCTGGTCAGATTGCATGGATGTGCAGGCTGACCTGGCTCTATACTGGTAGCAAAGGATCATCACTTTTGGTTAAAGTAGGATAAAATTTTGTTTTATTTAAAAGCATCCCTGATTAATTTTATTACTATTAGCTTATCCTCCATAAGTAGCTGTCAACTTCTCTACATGTCCTTGACCATTATTGTCATGATATTGTATATTTTACATTTTAAGTTTATCTTTTCCAATAAAGAAACAATATAGCCATGAAGGCCCTGAGTCGCTCACCAGAAAAACTGCTTTTCAGTGTTGGAAATTATCCATTGTCAATATTTTCTAATATCAAATTTGAGCATAGAATATGTTTAAACAATAATTTGAAGAAATGCCATGACCTGGGGCATTTAAGCTTTAGCAGCCCCTTAAAGGGGCATATCAAATTAATATGAGCAAATTTGATAAAAGACTACCCAAGAATGCTACAGACAAAGTTTGGTGATCATCCATCAATTAGTTCTGTAGAAATAGACGTTTAAAGGTATTTCTATTTTTAGCTTTAGCGGCCCCTTCAAGGGGCCAATCAAATTAATATGAGCAAACTTGATAAAAGACTACCCAAGAATGCTACAGACAAAGTTTGGTGATCATCCATCAATTAGTTCTGTAGAAGAAGATGTCTAAAGGTTTTTCTATTTTTAGCTCTAGAGACCCCTGAAAGGGGCCAATCAAATTAATATGAGCAAACTTGATAACAGACTACCTAAGAATGCTACAGACAAAGTTTGGTGATTATCCATCAATTAGTTCTGTAGAAGACTAGACATGTGTCGTCACGCCAAGGATGCCCCCGCATGCAGCCAAAATTTCAGATGTCATAATATTTAGTTCCAAATTTGTTTGCACAAATTATTTTTTTCATTTTAAGTTCAAAGCCCTTAAAACTATTCAATGTTAACACAAACCATTTTTAAACAAAGTTCAAGACACTGAAACTATTCAGTGTTAACCTTTTGTATATTGCATGTTGCATATTTCTAGCCAAATTAAGCGCTACTTACATTTCCACAAAAGTATGAGTGCTGAAACTGAAAATTCAAAATGTTTCCAACATTCAAGGGAGAAAACTTTGTCCAAAATCATTGAACCACGACCAAATTCAAACTTGAACTGCTTATTCCTAAGATGTATCTATATGTCAAATTTGAGTTGAACCATTGGGGAGATAATGAACTGAAACTTAAAATTTCTGATTTTTTTTCAAAGTTCAAGAGGGATATCATCAAACCATGACCGAATTGGAAATTGACCAATGCATTCTTATGACATATCTATATCTTTAATTTGAGTTGTATATGTACAACTGTTGGGGAGATAATGAATGGGAACTGAAAATTTCCTTTTTTTTAAAGGGGCATAACTCTGCCAAAAAACATCAAACCATGACCAAATTTGAATTAACCTGTATTTTCTCATGACATATCCATATGTCAAGTTTGAGTTGAATGTGTAATACCGTTGGGGAGATAATGAACGGAAACTGAAAATTTCATATTATTTTCAAAGTAAAAGGGGCATAACTCTGCCAAAAATCATCGAACCATAACCAAATTCGAACTTGACCTGTATTTTCTCATGACATATCCATATGTCAAGTTTGAGTTGAATGTGTAATACTGTTGGAGAGATAATGAACGGAAACTGAAAATTTCATATTATTTTCATAGTGAAAGGGGCATAACTCTGCCAAAAATCATCGAACCATGACCAAATTCGAACTTGACCTGTATTTTCTCATGAAATATCCATATGCCAAATTTGAGTTGAATGTGTGCAACCGTTACTAAGATAATGAATGAAAACTGGTGATGACGGAATGACAGAATGATGGAAAGACAGAATGACGGAAGGGCGGAATGACGGAACAGGGTAACACTATATGCCCCAGCCATTATATGGCGGGGGCATAAAAATGTCCAAAGGTTTTCTATTTTTAGCTCTAGAGATCCCTAAAAGGTGCCAATCAAATTAATATGAGCAAAATTGATAAAAGACTACCTAAGAATGCTACAGACAAAGTTTGGTGATCATCCATCAATAAGTTCTGTAGAAATAGGCGTTTAAATGTATTTTTATTTTTAGCTTTAGCAGCCCCTAAAAGGGGCCATTCAAATTAATATGAGCAAACTTGATAAAAGCCTTCTCAAGAATGCTACAGACAAAGTTTGGTCATCATCCATCAATTAGTTCTGTAGAAGATGTTTAAAGGTTTTACTATTTTTAGCCCTAGAGACCCCTAAAAGGGGCCAATCAAATTTATATGAGTAAACTTGATGACAGACTACCTAAGGATGCTACAGACAAAGTTTGGTGATCATCCATCCATTAGTTCTGTAGAAATAGAGGTTTAAAGGTATTTCTATTTTTAGCTTTAGCAGCCCCTAAAAGGGGCCAATCAAATTAAATATGAGCAAAATTGATAAAAGACTACCCAAGAATGCTACAGGCAAAGTTTGGTGATCATCCATCAATTAGTTCTGTAGAAGAAGATGTTTAAAGGTTTTTCTATCTTTAGCTCTGTTGACCCATAAAAGGGGCCAATGGAAATGACATGAGCAAATTCAAGTGTGACTGTCACAAAGATGCTACAGACCAAATTTGAAGTCAATCTGCCCGGCAGTTTCAGAGAAGACGCTTGTTGACGCATGACGAAGGATGCCGGAGCATTCCCCTTTGATACTAATAGCTCACCCTGAACCTTCGGTTCTGGTGAGCTAAAAACAAAATTTAGGAATAATTTCTATGTGAAATAGGACATAATCATGTAAAAAATCAATAGTGAAATAGCAAAGTGGACTAATAGAGTTAGATTGTGAATTTTTGTGTATTTTACATTGACATGTAAAGTCTTTTAGTGTCACAAATATTTACCCCATTACCCCCATCTATAATCAAAGTGCTGCAAGCTTTGTGGTATTTTTTGATCTTTGCAATCTAAATCGTACTGTATATTTGTATGTATTTTCCTGTATAAGTTTATTTTTATGTACTATAATTCATCTTGCAGGGCACCAGAGTTTGATACATACGGAATTTTGCATAACTAGAGTTTCATCAAAAAATCATTTATGTTCATTTTTTATGACAGCCACACTTTATCCTTGCATATAGTGGCTACTTCCTTAACAAAGACACTTAAAAAAAAATAAAACAAATAGTTGCCTCGACTGGGATTTGAACCCCAGACCTCTCACACACTAAACGAGCGCGTTACCCCTGCACCATGGAGAAGTTATACGAGCAAAGCCTGAATAAAATTAAGTAATTCAAATTTAGAATTTCCATTGCATTTCGGGTTTGTTATCCTTATTAATTTAAAGGTATTTTGTTCATGATAAACCTGTTGTTTTAAATTAATGCAAATAATTTAGCGAAAATCTTCTCGCCAAAACAGTCTGACATGTACAATCTATATATTCCACTACTCGACAGTCAGATTTATTTGTGTAGTATTTGGTAATCGACATCGTTAAAAATAGCATTTTCATTGATTAAAATCATTTGGGAAATTTGTGATGGTGCATTTATTGACAATTCTATAAGACAATGATACTTTTAAACTTTGAATGCGTTGTAATTTGTTGGATACATGTAACAAAATAGAAATATTTCTTTCTTTTAAATCGCTAGTTTTAAGCTGTTTTAAGAACTACTTGTTGTTAGGTTTGTCGTTAACCGCTGTGTCAGAGATAGAATGTCAGCTTTGTATTTCCTGATCTTTGATCAGAAAATACAAAAACTGCCTTAAACAGCTGTGTATAGGCCAAAAGTAATAAGGTCCACATATGTGAAAGGATATAGAAACCAACAAAAAGTAAACATGTGTGACACCAAAGTCCCTTTAAAGCTTTATCTTAAAGACGGAAATTACCAGGGTATCAATGCATGCATGTACCTAAAAAAGTTCACATACAAACACTGTTACTATATATAGAAACTGTCGTAACCATATAATAAAGCATGGTCAATACTTACTAATAGAATGTACTGAATAATTTAATATGATGAGCCATAGAACATCAAGGATTGACTTTATATCCCCATCCAATACATCTGAAATGTAAACACAGACTACAATAAATGTATGTATAACCACTTACAACAAAATGCCTCAAGATTTGTTTTAAATTGTTAAATTAAAAAGAAAAGACAAAATAAGCTGAACTTATCAATGCTGCAAATTTATTTACTTAATGATGTTCAGATCTTAAATTTTGATAAGCAACTTGCAAACATTCTAAACCAAATTATTTCAGTTTGTTATTTATAAAAAACAAAAAAACAAAAACAAATAAACAAATAATAATAATAAAAATGTTGGATAATTTGTTGAACTTGATTCTGCTTCTGCATCAATTTTGAAAACATTTTATTTTCAAATAAAAAATGTTTGGTGAACTAGAATGATTGTAACAAATCACAGTTAAAAAGAAAGAAGAACAGTAAGACCATATGCCTTCATTAGAAAGTAAAATACTATGTAAAATTAAAAGCAAGAAAATATTGTATTGAAGGATGACTGACCTAAAATAAAGCTATTTAGATGGTTTTATTCAATGAAAGCATCAGACCTTTTCTTAATTCAGAAAATGATTTGTTATGAAGGCATGTGATATGAATTTCTCAAAACATAACTTATATCAAGATACCACAGTATACAAAATGCCTTGTTATGAAGGCATGTCAAGATACCACAGTATACATGTATACTGTTAATAAACACAGTCTGTTTTGGACAATCTATGACAGGTGAGTAGTAACCTGGATACTATACAAGAACTCTCAAAATCTCTCAAAGTTGTTCCACTAATAACTCATTAATTAAATGGCATAATGGCAATAGCATAATATATCATATTGTTTGAAACATATGCAGTGGCCAGCAGTGAGCCTCCTAAGGTCCAAATACCAAACTGTCTCCCTACTGAGTTGTAAAGATGAGATCCGTACCAATATTTACCTCATAGTTGTGATAGAATTTATACATATATAGGACAATAGATTAGTTGTCTTTACTTTTGTATTAACTTGAGAGAGAATTCCAGGTCTGATCAATGTGTGCAGTAAGCCAGACTGGGACACATTGTGTACATAACATATCTACATATCAAACATAATGCTGTTGATAATCCTACAAGATTCATCAGAGCATCATTATCTTAAAGCCCTGTCAATATTCACTAAGTCTTCCGATCAATTAAATGTATACTTTTTCTACACTACATCTATATAGGCTTATAGCACTTATATACAAGTTGAGAAATAGTCACAATACTTAAATTGCTCTTCATATCAGTTTTACATAAAATATTGTTTGGCAATTTTTAGATAATTTGCCTCACACACTTTATTATTCCTATGGATTAAGATAAAATGTATATATAATTTGATTCTCTTGGCAAAGATAACAAATTTGTTCCACTATAGAGATGATTGCTGTTAGCATTTCAACATTTACCAAGAACAATATAATTGGTGAAGATTTAGATGCCAACAACAGATAGTTAAGACAGATAGCAGGGAATCACAATTGTAACAAGCAGGCCCCTACTGTTGTTGCACAATGTCATGTATCAGACAGAGTCATATATGATACTAGTATCTTAGCAAGAAAAAGGCCTTAAATGCAAACCGATTTCCTGATTTGATATAATTATAGCTTTTCAACAAACTGCAATAACAGTAAACATCATCTTTTCCACCAAAAAAAAAATGTAAATGAATGAAGGAGGAACTTGGGAATAACTTAAGTCACACAAATTGTACAATTAGATCAAAAGATATATGCAATAATAGTGAGGGTTTGGAAGTATATTGAATAGATTTGAATGATTTTCACATTTACAACTTTTATGTCTTACTAAAGGAATGTATTTTTATTGAATCAAAGTGATCAATTTATGTTTAATTTTCTTTATCAGTTAAACTTCTCTTCAAACCTAACTGCCTGCCAATAAAATGGAATATAAATGAGTTTATTTTGGGTTAGAATCAATACAACATAAATAAGGTACTCAAAATCTCCTGATAAAATGTAAATGATCTTATGAGTAACATACTACTACTTCAGTTCAAAAATAACGCAAGCAGAGTTACACTTCTTGTTATATTTTCTTGAGTTGTCTCCCTCTAGATTACTGTAACATGACTACTAGATTAACCTCCCTTACATAAAATGACAGCATACATACAAGAAATTCTTGAATGTGCTGTAAACTTGAACAGATATTAAAGATATTGGTAAAAGTATGATTGCAGTAAAAGAACTGTTTGCAATAAAAGAGATGTATCAAAAAAAACCACCATAAAAACACAAATAAACCAGTTTAGAAAGAAAAAGTAAATGAGAAATCTGAGAGGGCTTTAGTATCATACATGTAGCTGTAAATGTACGCAGGGAAAACAATGTTAATGGAAAAAAGCAGTTTTAGAACAGAAACTCATACTTTTTACAAAGATGAAAGAGTTGAAGAAAAGAAGACAAAAGTAGTAAGAAGTAAAGCCAGTCATATGCTACAGGAAATACGGAGACATTGCTGTAAAATAACACTACCCACACTGCATCATTAAAATATGTATGAAAATATTGATGGATAAAAGAGCCTTAATGATAAAATGATGATCTCTTCATTCACTTACTCTTCTGCCATTTCATCCAGTCTAAAATAGTTGTCAAGTAATAAAATTAAAATTCTAGATAAACTGCACCAAACAATAAACCAGGGACAAATTAAAGTAATGAATTAATGTCTTTTATAGAAAAAAAAGAACATAAGAAACAGCTTTACTTAAATTCTTGACAAAATTAATATAATATTCATTTCTTTTCAAGTTTAAAATTGATTACTGAATAGGTTTACGGTACTCAAGGTTTCATCAATTTAACACACAGAAATCTTTTAAAATACTTTTTAAAAGTATTTGATTAACAAGAGCTATCACACAAAAGTGACAAATACCCTCAAAAAGGTTTTGTAAGTATTGCAGAAAGGTACTATGAAAAGAAAAGAGAATAACAGTAACTAACTGCTTAATATTGTTCTTGTAAAATGATTTGCTATTAATAGCAAAGTTACCACCTTGACCTTGGAGGTACAGACATGGGTCTTGGACGCTACATTTCATCTTGATGTGGTAGACATTTGTGCCAAGTTATTTTAAAATCCTTCCATGCATGACAAAGTTACAGTCCGGACACGAATGTGTACCTTCAAACTCTTCTTGTGAGAATGAGTACCTTCAAACTATAAAACTAGTGTGATCTTGACCTTTGAGGTAGGGACATGGGTCTTAGACACAACATGTTTTCTTGATGTGGTAAACAAATAAGCTACGTTATTTAAAAATTGTTGCATGATTGACAGTTACAGTCTGTACCTTTAAACTCTAACTGTGAGAATATGAACCTTCAAACACTAAGTGTGACCTTGACCTTTGAGGTAGGGACATGGGTCTTTGAAGCGACACATCATGATGTGGTAGACATTTATGCCAAGTTGTTTTAAAATCCTTCAATGCATGACAAAGTTACAGTCCCGACACGAATGTTGTGTAAGTGGGGATGCACAGGCTGATGGGTGGACAGACAGACAAACGGACTGTGTGATTTTAATATGTCGTCCTTCAAGGGCATAAAAATGTGCTATCAATTATATAGTATGGTAAAATATAACAATGAAACTATAGAGAAAATGAAGTATTGAAAAACTGTTTACATTGAAAATGTGTACACATTGCAAATAAACTGTTAGTATATTCAAATAGCAAATTATGTTTCTTTTTAATTAGATATACATAAAATATTTCTGACCATATAATTAATACAGTCTAATCTTTCTCTTCTATCTGAGCTATTAAAGCATTTTGTCAGCTTAGACTAGGGTATTATTGTGTTTTATAAACTTTGAGATATTCAAGATTGAATTGGATTATGTGATTAACATTTTGAAAGCTTTCAATTCCATTACAGGCAAAGTCCAGTAGTGTAGATTTTACCCTGTGAAAGTTTTGCACAAAGACGTAATTTAAGTAGGTGTGTAACTTCAAATCTGGCGTTTATCTGATATTTCGCCCATTGTTTCCATTTAGTTATCGGTGGAGCATGGTAATTTATCTGTTTTCAATGCATAACTGTACAGTTTTGTCTCAGTTTAATGAGCGTTTTCATTTTCACTCAAAATTTTGAAACTATTTTTTTGTCCAGATAACAAAGATTGACTTTAGCTCTATATAGGGACCATGAACAATTTGTATACTTCTGAGTTGTATGTTGCTGTTGACGTAAATCTGTAGAAAATTAGTCTTTAATCTACAATACCTTAATAATTAAGAGAACAATTTATTACATTGTACAAGCAAATTCCATTTAAAAATGTCTTTATTGGCTTAATTCAATAAAAAGTGAAAATAATTGAACCTTTCAGTAGTTCAGTTATCAAACAATGTTTGCTCTACAAATATATTCACAGAAAATGGTTGATAATTTTTTAAGTGAAAATTGATTCCACAGTATAATTTTTCATATTTCAAGCACAATACTTCATTGAGCTAGAAAATGTGTACCAATAAATAAAAGTACCTATGAGAAATTTTACGCTTATTTTAAATTTTTTTGAACTTCCTTCTATATCTTCCTACTTTTTGGACTGTCTATTGGAAGTTACAAGGATTTCAATACAGAAGTAGTAATAGTGACCAAACAACAGCACTGCTGGATGGCCTGGCCACATATTGGTTGCACAGTGGACAGGCATTACTGCTGCTTTGGCAGGAGTTAAAAACCCTATCAGGAAGTAACTGCAGCATTAAAGGACATATATTAGTTAACAGACCACTGTTTCATTTACTTTTTAATGCCAGAAATATACTGACCCATGATATGTTGTGTTTTCTTCCCCCCCCCCCCCCCCAAAAAAAAATCTTAGGAATACAGAATGGTCCTCATATATTCAAATAAGCTATTGAAGTCTACTTATTAGCTATTTAGGCAATTGTTAAAAAATGTTGAAAATTTCAGACTTGTAACATTTTAGATTGAATGTTTCATCTCAAAGTATACCAAGCTTCCTTAAAATCTTAAAATATAATTCAATTCAATTTTCATCTAAATTTTAATTTACTAAACATAAAATTTCATCATACTTTTGTTCGGAAGAATCTATTTATTTCTTAAGATAAAATTTCTAATTATTTTTTTATTATTTTGGTCGCCTTTGACCTTAGATATAGTAGTAAGTGATATGTCTGATCATGTCCACCAGGCTGATTAAGTGAGAAATATTTAGATTAAATATTTTTTCACAGGTATTTCTATCTGGAGTAATCCAACTTGTAAAAAGAAGATCATGTTTAATCCACCTATGTTCTGTTTACAAAAATGATTAAAACTTTTAATACAAACATTTTATTTAGTCTTAAACAGTATTTACATTTGAAAATCAGCTTATATCTAACATTTCAAGGAAAAATTCAATATTTATGTATTCGCCTTTAAATATTTTTAAAAAAGTGCCTGCAATAAATCAAACGAATTTGTTTGAGTAAAATCAATATAAAGTTACGATATGCAAACTGTTTTCTATCCTAGATCGGTCTGAACAAACACAATTTATACACTCATTGAATGTAATGAATTATGTATTCACAAGCACAAATATACACTACTATTTTACATCTTACAGAAGAAAATTATGCACTAGAGAGCATTTTTTTTGTTCCTAACTTCCATACTTATGTTTCATTGTATCCTACTTTCAATAAAGAATGTTTTAATCAAGATATAGAAAAGTAAACTGAATACAAATGAATTTATAAAATTCCATGCAAATCTCTGGATTAATGTCAATATTTTTTCTTTTCTTGTAGTTTGGTGACCCTGTTTACCATTACCTTAACACTTACTTTGAATAAACAGTACAATTGTATGTTAAGGTCTTAATACTGGTTGCATAATTATGTTATCATTAACACTGATTAAATGTACCATTTTGTGACTTATTTCACACACAAGGAAGCATTTTTGGTATGTTATAAATCTTACATAAAAATATGAATTAGCAAATGACAGCATTAATTATTCTTTTCTAGATGTTGACTGAAAAAAAGTAATAACATCTTGAGAAGAAGTTTCTTCAAATTATCTTTTGTGTGCACTAGTGCGCTATATTTGTCCATGATGACAATAACAAGCACCCTGCATATGTAACCATGGCAAAGTATTAATGTAATGCAAAAATCATGTGACATTATTGCATTGCTTTTATAAAATAATGTAAAGCATAAGCTTATGCTAATGTAATGAAATGACATTCAAATTATCTTCCTCATACAATTTAATAATATATCTCAAAAATAATACAACACAAGGTGTAAATCAGATTGTGGTAATAATGATGCAACATGACACATCCAAAAATTGTCCCCCAGATCAATTATTGATATTTATTAATTAACCTCTTTATGTTTTGCTAAATATATGTATACTGATTTTATGTACAAAAACAACTTACCAGAAACAAAAAAATCCATATTTCCATTGTTACTTGTTTTTTAAATGCTCTATTGATGGGTTTGGTTTTATTAATTTTTTTTGTGAATTTTGTTAGGCTGCACGTGTGTACCTCGTACAATTCTGACCAAGCAAAATCAACCAGAGCATGATATACGTCCAAGATTGTTTTGTTTGAGATACTCTTACAATGACTTATATGCTACAGAAATGTAATAAATTATTAAAATTAGGCAGAATGCTGTAAATATAAACAGCTTCCAGCATGGCCTCACAGATCAAGGTTTTAAAATAAATCAGACAATTATGAAGATGTGTAAAAACAAAGGAGATAGCCCAGGAAATTAATGCAATTATGTACAGGATAAAAGAAATATATATTATAATATAAATATGTAAATACAATAGTGTTAAAGTATTGTACTAGCTGAAGCTGTAAAGTAGCAGATAATGCATGGTGTGGACAAACATACCTTGAGGTGTAAAATGGAACTTTACGCCATGACTTCGCATGTGGTCTAGCGCAGCTCGCAGGTACCTTTGAGGTGTTATGTTCCCTGATTTCTGAAAAATACCAAAGTAGTTTCAATAGTTTACAGTTATTTATTAACGTAGATACATAAAAATTTGCCTTTAAGATGACAGCTTTTAGCAATTAAAATAATTGATTTTTTCAACAAGTAATTGGCACATCTTTTCATTAGGATCGGGAAATATGATTGTATCGTGAATTTAAAAAAACATACTGAAACAGTGGAATCCTACATGTATAAAGCTTAGATAATACTGTTCAACTTATTAAAGAATCAAAGCCTTAAAGTATATCTTTAGAAGCTTAAAAATACTCCATTTATAACACAGTTAATTCTCACCAATGTTCAGATGTATCTTTGTTAAAAATTGTAGTCAAAGTTAGGCATAAACAATGCTGCATGTTTGATGGTGTTTTTTTATCTTTACAAATTAAACCATAAAATGTAACTATAATATACAAATCAAATAAGTGTAGAAAGATAAATGAAACTGATATCAAATAATTCATGATTCCATTCATATCCATTTCACCATGAAAATTTAAATTGTGTTGACCACACATGAACAAATGCTTCCCATATCCTAACAAATGGAAAGAAATAAACAGTAGTTCACATTCTGTTCAAAATCATCAAACCCAAGAACATTTCAAATATAAAGTACAATTTAATGCGTTCTTACTTTCAAAACATTTTTTGTACTCTTCAAGTGCATTTGATGTAAATAAAGAGGCGAATTTACATGTCAAAGAAATCCTTCCTTAAAGATCAGACATCAGTTTACAGTTGAATAGGACTTAAATACCTTTACCCTTATATTAAATATAAACCTTTTATCATAATCAATTTTACACATATTTTCTAAAGACATTTTCAACAACATTTCAATTAGGTGGAAATTTGCTGAATATACATTTAAATCATTAGAACAAGATAAAGGGAAAATGGCCTTATGATTATTATATATAAGGTTGCCAAAATCATAGGTTAGCGTGATAGAAGCTTGCCCTTCATACACTTAACCGAAAACCTAAGAAACATACTTGACGCTTAATAGAAATTTCAATTAACTGATAATCTTTCAAATCTCCATGTTAAATATATTATCGCAAGTGTTTACCAACCTGTCAGTCCATAAAAATTCTTTTCATACAGTAAACAGACACCTTATAAAAGCAAGGACTTAATGGCCATTTATATTTTACTAACAACAAAAACTCCATTTAAGGTCTATTATAATTCAAGATATAAATGTATCAAATCTCCTTAAAGGCATATATTGTAAGTCTTTATGTAAATACTTGAACCCTAACTTAAAACATTATTAAGAAAAGGAAAGAATATCATTTTTATACACTGACCTGGTAATAAATAATAATAAAGATATATTCAGATAAATAAATTATCAAAATTTGCATCATAAATAATTTCAAAATGTTCTTTCTATCAAACATTTGACTGTGATGCAATGAACAAATAAAACTGTTATTGAATATATTTACAAATTAATCCTAAAATAGTTTATATCTTTCATATGAAATTTTAGCTAAAGCTATTATATTTTACATAGGGTATCACATGATATAGAATTTATTTACCAAAACAAACAAATCTAATTCAACATTAATATTTGACATGCTTATTTGGAAATGACATACCGGTATATCTATTTTTGTTTTTTGTTCAGCTAAGAAATTGAAGTAATTTTTTAATTTTTTTGTTTAAATGAACTAGAATTTCATGACAGAAGTGTATAACTTTGTCTGTAAACAAAAATGAAATGAAAGCACCCTGCAGTTAAGAATTAATTAATAAGCATTTAGAAATTTCAAAGGATAATCTATCAAGTATCTCCAGGTCTGAATAAAAAACAGTAATCAACGCTTGACAACTTCAATTTACATATGTACATTTTTTCTCTCCTCTTTTTAAATACAAATTTTTCACACAAAATGTTAGCCATGATGATAATTTTATAATACCATCATCAAAGAGTCCGGTCAGCATGCACTCTCATCATCAGACTTTATACAGTTTGCTTCTAATTTTATGCATTTTGACAAAAAAAATCAGTGCAATACAAGTCACTTACATAAATGAATCAGATAGTAAAATAAGATTGATCTTCTTGGAAATGAATAAAATTCTTACCCGCACATTTTGTTGTAAGACAGCATTAGGACACAGTTTGTCGATGAGCTGACAAACAATACGTCCTTCCTGAATAACGCTCACTCCACTACATGGTGTACCTCCTACATCACTCAACACTGAGTTCACCCAGTTCAAGTACACCTATAATACAAAAATAAAATACTCATTAAAATATATATATTAATCTTATTCAATACAGTCACTGAGTCAGTACAAAAATAACAAAAACCCTATAATACTTAGAGACCATAAGTAAGTCACAAAGTGTCAGTATTTTAATGTACAATACAAACTGTTGCAGTACAAAACTCTATGTTTAAGGGACTGTCTGTCAATAAAGACCATATGTCTATAAAAATCTAGAGATTAGAAAATATGGTCTTTATTGACAGGGTCTTAAAATAATTTGATTTTAATGTAAATATACTGAAATATCATGCAACTTTGTATAAAATATAAAAATCAAAAGAGAAATTATAGGAGAAAGAGTCGATATATATAAAAAAATATATTTACATTAAATATAAATAAGAGAATCTTTGAAAAAAAGATATATTATTTAACATGTTATTACAAGTGACAAATATAATTTTCTGCTAAATGAGTTTTCAAACAATTTTGCAAGTTATTAGTATTCACAAGCAAGAAATACATACATGTAGCTGTATGTTAGAGAGAGTTTTAATATTTTGGCAATGTTTATCTTTATCATAGTTTAATTTGAACATGATTCATCACTCAAATCATTAGTTAACATAAGTTATGCCTTTTTAAGACCTTCCAACAATCTTAGATTTCCCAAACACCTTTACACAGGCAAAAAGGTGTTACTGCTTGATTTTCACTAGGTTACCAATAAATGCTTGAATCAACCAGATTGATTAAAACTTACTTTTAAACTTCCACCTATCCAAGGTTGTCTTTTCATTGTCAAGCAACCTAGCATATATCCATCCATAAATTATTATCTACCTTCATTCACAACACATATCTTTAAAAGTGCACAGATAAATAACACGAGTCTGATAACTTTATAGAAAGTATAAGTTTTCAAATGCTTTAAAGTCTTAAGATATCAATTTTTAAGTTAAGATATCTTTTAAATTAAAGAATAAAGAAATAGGTTGATATTTTTTCCTGTAGCACTTTCTCTGAAAATCACTTTTATATTTGCCTTTCAAAAATCACAAAATCATTTGCAAAGAATGAACAACTTCTGTGTCACTGATAAACTTATTTTCCCTTCACTTAACAAGTGGACGCTAAATATTAATTAAAACCATACAGATATCTTTGTTTGGAAGGTACATGATATGTTAAACATCATGGCACAAACACATTATAATCTGAGTTTTTAATCAAACAGCTGAAGTACAGGTTACATGGCAACAAATGACATCACATGTTTGTGAATTAGTTCAACATCATGCTTTTGAGTTATTATCCATACATAGCAGTACAAGTTTATACTTAATTGATTTATAACGCAATTAAACTCTAACTATGTAATAAAATCCAACAAAATCCAGTACACTTGTACAATACTTTCATTCATAGGGGTATATGATGAATGACTGTGATAAATTTGTTATATTGTCCAGTAGGTAGAAACTAATAACTAACAATTAAGCCAGGCTATATGCGACAATATATCATCAATATATCAGTTTTCATTCTGAGGACATGGTACCAGACATCCAATGCAATACAAGATTATACCTTATTAGATCAATTTTACACAAAGTGAATTATTAATGATAATATTATTTCAGTGAATGTGCATTTAGCAATTTTGTCAATAAGCAGACAAGTGTGCCCAAACAAAACACGCCAATGTAGGTATTTATATTGCGTCTAAAGGTATTCTACAAATATTTAGTATTTAAATATAGACTTTCTATCCCCAATGGAAATAAATACATGTACATAGAAAGTAAATGTGCTCAACTTTAATTCAAACAAAGATATCATGAATGTAATATATCACTTATATTTTTTCATAACTTTGAATTTTAATCTGTAAAAACAAAAGGAATGACAATTTCATAACTTCACTGATGGAATTAAACTATAGCACATCCATTTTTAAAATGTTTAAAAAAAAAGGTAATATGAAACTTCTACATATCAACTCTCTTAGAAATGCTAAGTATGAAACATTTACCTGCAGGTAATCTAATGAAAATAGCTAATTTGACATGTACCAAGGAACATTCAAAAACACTTTTGTTGTTTTTTTAATTGTAGCAATTGCAATAAATCATGCTGTCATGCCATTGATATTCACCAAGCAGTTTTATATTGAATTACATTATAATGTTTAATAATTAGTTGAATCTTATGTTACAATTCTTGACTTAAGCAGATAAATGTGTATGTATTATTTTTTTACAATATAATTCTGACAGATTTGCATCAGAAACAAACACATTGAGATATTGCATGGTGACTTTATATCAGAGTTTCTTATACTCTTGATGTAAATCAGTGAATCCTTTTGATGATTCTTCTATTGTAAAATTGCAATAAAATTGTGAATAAAACTGAAATTCTCTCTCCTACACCACAACATTTCAGGTATCTCACGAGACCTTGTAATTACCAATTCATTGCCTTGGTATCAATTATTGATGTAGTAAACACACAGGGCATGATTGATGCTGTATAACGAGTGATCCAATTGATTCATTGAGATGCTGTGAATACTGACACCAATCAAGCATACATGGTCACATTTATTAATTAAAAAAACATGCTAATCTAAATTAGTTTCTCACTAGCTAGTAGCTACAGCACAGTAATATACATGTAGCTAGTAAAATCAATATTAGCTTTCCCAAGTTACCGGTACCCTTAATTAGTTTAACATAAATGTTCAAAAGTCTGAATGTATTTAAACCTGATAAGATAAATATTATATATATTATATTTATAAATATTATAAATGAGATGATTTTGATTACTATCTATACAAGTTTCTTTTAATTTTGACAACAGCACTTGGGTTCATAATAATATTAACACTTAACTTGTCAAAATTCTCTATGTGTTTTCTTACAAAATTTTAAGTAAATGACTTCATCAGTTGAATAAATATTGTAAATCCACCTAGTAATCACTCTAAAAGATAAGGAGATATTTGTTTAGCAATAAAAGTATGTGTGTTGACCGTTACAAACCCAAACCGAGAATGTTATATTGAACTATTTACAATAACTTTTCTGATAAGACCCCTTTAAGAAACTGCTGAAAACAAGTGATTATTTAAAACTGCAGCCACTATAAGACTTTTTTCCCTTTTTTGTAAGCTTTCATTTTATTAAGACTTATTGCAATGTACATAGAATTGGAAATCCTAAATTATGATGTTATATTTTTTAAAAATCTAATAGACTAATACACAAAAAAAAAAGTTTGGAATACAATAAACTGAAAGAAATGATTTTAATGTGTGATATACACTAGTAGTAAGCCAGACATGAGCATTATAAACATTGTTTAAAAAAGCAGACATAATTATATGTCTCTGAAAAAAGTAAGCACTTAAAATGATGTGAATTTAACATGCACAGATGGTTAAGTTAAACATGCATTTGGAAATGACACTTAACACAATACTACCTCTTTTCTACTCATTTTATCCACTTGAAAACACTGCCAGGTACTGAATTGCATATTTTAAAAGAAAGTGAAAATACAACAATATATTGAGGATGAAATATTTCCTGTCAAGTTTATCAAAAAAAAAGTTTTTAAAATGGGTCAAACCAAATTAAAAAGCTAGATACATTGTAATGCATGTTGTTTTTTTCCTCACTAGTTTTTATTTCATTTAGTTCAATATATATATATATGTATATATATATGAGACTATTTAAATTGATATAGGTTACTTACTTTAAGCATAACGATTTTAGTGCTTTGCTGGTCACCAATTTTTAAATATAAAATAAAACCACTCTCAAAAATTCTTTTTACGACTGGTCATATCCAATATTAAATCAATTAATTAATAAGCTGCATGTCAAACTAGAGCTGAGAGTAAAAATGTTAAATAACATTAACAAAACAACTTGTATGTTTTATATATCACACAAGCTTACAATCCAGATTATCTACCTAATTGAAAGCCTAATCTGTTTACTTTTGCATGTCTAATCTTGTTTCTTAATTTACTTTTTATTTAAAGTTCTAATTAGTTAGTTAATTAATTAAACGCACAGCATTTTAAATACGGTGAAATAGTTATTTACTCTAGTTAAAAAAGTTGCAATACCTGAAGAACTGACATTTTGTCAGAAATATTCCATTTTAACTATGAACGAAACGGTTTAAACCTAAGAGAGAGAAAGTGTTTATTAGATCCCTTTCACTTTTTGACAGTAACCCGCCATGTGTGACACTAAGGACGCCGCAGAGCTCCTCGGATTTTACCGTTGATACAGTAGTGACAGGGAACCAATACTTCACTTCATTAATCTGGTTCCCTGTCTATTAGTGATCCGCTTTGCGCCTGCGCGCAGCTTAATTGGCAGAAACTTCCGCTGAGAATTGGCTGTCAAAACAAGAAAATTTGTAAATATTCCTTTCATTTATTCACATTCCCAACTGACAGTTATTTTATATATTTATCGTTTGACATATCAAGTCCATATGTGGAGTTTCTCCTACTAAACTTAGTTAAGATCGTTGAAATGGGCAGATCTTATATTTTTTTTGTAAATTTTGGAAATAATCTCGATCTATAAATCATGTAATGTGTGTATTGGTTTAGCGTAAAATTACTAAAAGCAAAACTATCTTTCATCAATCTGACGACCTTTCTGTCTATGGTTTGGTGACATTTAGTTATAAAGTCACAGACTCCGGATCAGACCTTGTAAGGCCTGACAGCAATACAATACAATATCATTTTTTTTTATTATATAATTATAAGCCCAACCAAGCCCTTTCCCAGTGTCCCCATCGGCCAGATTACCAGACCCATTCCCAATGGCAAATTATATGCTAGTCCTTTGCAAATCATTAAAAAATTCCCAATCAAACTGAAATTCCCAGATATCAAAACTGACAAATTTGCTATATAGAGTTCATTCCAGTATGGTATCAGACAGATGTTTCCACATGTTTCATTGTCAAATTTTAAATGTATTTTTTAAACTTTGAATGATACATGTATTTGTATTTGTTGGAATTAACAATGTTGCACAATTCAAAATATTATGCCAAAAGAGCATGAAGCAGGTTTCAAAAGGTACAAAATATTTTTCCCAATTAAGCATGCAATTTTATGATGCAAAATTTCCAAAACTTGTCTCTGTACTTTTTCTTAAAATGGCTAGAAAAAGGCTTGCCAGTATCAACATTTGAAATACTGATTTTCAGACATAAACTAGCTGAACATTTCCAATATGTCTCAAAATTCATTGGTTGTATACCCCTGAGTGTCAAAATTTCATTGGGTGAGGGTGAATAATTAAGAAACTATCAGTGCAAGCTTAATATTTATAAATTTCATCAGAAAATTACTCAACAAAATGAGGGCATCCGCCATACTGAGGGCACTCATTGATATATACATGGATCTAAAATTAATGGCTTATTATACAAAAATGTTATACATGTATTGAATTCAAATATTACTTTGCAGATCTAACTTAATTGTCAAAAATTAAAGATAAGCAAACCTTACACTAATTCAGGTGACATATTGACAGAAATAAATGAGTTGTGAAATAAAATATTCTGTGTCATAGATACTCAAAAAGACAATTAAAGTTGTGATCATCAGATTATCATTCTAATAATCAGGATATTTAGAGGTGTTACAGCTCTTTTATTCATTGAAGTATACAGCAGGTAACATGTAAATTAAACTTGTAACAAGTATGAGAAGATTAATAAAATTTTCTTTTCAAAACAGTGATTTTAATGTATTCAGTGATTAAATAATGTTTCTAAATTATGCTTTTCTACTCTGAAGTACTTATTGAAAATCAACATTGTTATCAGGTCGGTTGCTACATAATAACATTGCCAGAATTGTGTACATGTATACATAAAAAGATTATGTTGATCCATTAGTTTTTATCTAGAACTAAACTGGCTTCAGATAGATAGTATGTTAGAATTATTCATTTTTTGCTCGACTTTTTTTTGGTATTGTGATAGTACCTTGATCATAACCTTTTTTAGTTCTTAGTGTATTGTCTTCAAACTTGGCCACAACAACCCTTGGGACAAGACCTTTCAGTAGACCACACTAACCTTGACTTTCATTCATAAATGACCTTGACCTTCAAGGTCAAAAGTCCAAATTTTGCTTGTTCTTGCTATAATTGGCTGTAACTTTGTTATTTTTGAATGGATTGTCTTCAAACTTGAACATAATAATCTTCAAGGATATCCCTTAAAAATGACCAGACAGACCTTGGCCTTTTTTCATAAATGACCTTGACTTTGAAGGTCAAATTATTGGAATTTTCATTTTTTTGGCTATTATTGGCTGTAACTTTGTTATTTTTGAATGGATTGTCTTCAATCTTGAACATACTAATCTTCAAGGATAACCCTTAAAAATGACCTCATTTTCTCAATTTTGGGCATTAAATGACCATATATATTTATATATATATTTATTGGTGTAAATATATATACAACAACACAAACAATACAAACAACAACAACAACAACAACTTATTTATAGAATGCATTGCTTGTATCTATTTATAGAATGCATTGCATGCATGTATCTATTTATAGAATGCATTGTGTGTTTCTATTTATAGAATGCATTGTGTGTTTCTATTTATAGAATGCATTGTGTGTATCTATTTATAGAATGCATTGCGTGTATCTATTTATAGAATGCATTGCGTGTATCTATTTATAGAATGCATTGCGTGTTTCTATTTATATATACATAATATATAGACAAAACTTATGTGACAAGATAGATCGATTAAATTTATAAAAAGGAAACGTTAAGATTTGTTCAAACATTTCTTTGTTTGCTTTAATTTAGAGGCTCTTGTTTCAATTGCTTTAACTAAATTAAGTGTTTCTACTTCAATTATACTTTCAAACAGTAATCAGAACTATAATCAACAACAACATTTTGAAATTTATTTCTAGTTACAGAATAATTTGAATTTGTATATCATTTTAGAAAATGGCTGCCAGTTGATACGAAGCTAGTGGTCACCATGGCAACAATAGCAATGGAAGTTGATATGAGACCAAAGATCTTGATAGGTAGTCGGGATCCAAGGCCTGCCTTCAAACATCCACAACATACCAATAAGGCATTTGAGTACTTCAACATAATGAGAAAGTAAGCTTTCAAAGGAGTTTAATGTAGTCTGACTTACCCTTTTTTGTGTCACCTGCTACAAGGTAGTGACGACATAATGGACAACTTGTCCGTCGCCTGTCCCTCCGTCACAAAAATTGTCCAAACTACTCCTCAAAGACTGCCATTTCATCTGAACTTTACAGGAATGATCAGTACCAAGTCTTGTTGTACATATCTTTTGCATTTTACTGATTTTTGTCAGGGTTATGGCCCATTAACCTTTTCCCTCATATAAGCGTGTTTCGACGACTTTTTGCCCCCCCCCCCCCCCTTTTTTGAGGCCTCAAACAGTGAAAAAATGCCCTATTTAGGCCCCAAACACTGGTTTTCGTTTGTGAAATGTTGCTAAAAAAAGTGACCACTTTTTCGGCGCGGTCCCCCATGCAAATGTTACATCAGGGGGTTGCCAGAAGAGGGATGTGCCCTCTTCTGTTTGGGGGGTTTGAAGGGGGGCGGAGTCTCCCTCATCGCCAAGAAAATTTTGGACATGTGACAGGCTAAAAATGGCCTCAGGTCGATCTTAGGGTAACTAGTAACTGACGCTGAAAAGCCTTTTACTCTATCTCAATTCATTGAGAAGTTGCAGCACTTTGAAATCAGTTTTGATGGAAAAAAAACAATGCAAAATAGTGATTTTTGAGACGTCCCCCCGTTGCCATGATAGCAGGAAATTTACGATTGAGCATGCTGTGACAGAGGCTATGGTGTAGTCAACATTTGTGCCAAGTTTCATCAGTATTGAAGCATATTTCAAAGTTTCATAGCAGTTTGAACTTGTTACAGGAGGCTTTTCAATGAAAACGGCCATTTCTCGCAATATGCTCATGGGGTAAAAGGTTAATCTTTTTTGTGCTCCCACTTTAGAGGGGGCATTTAGATTTACCTTTGTCCGTCCGTTCTCATTTTTGTGTCGCATGTAGCTCAAAAAGTATTTGACCTAGAGTCATGAAACTTTACAGGACTGTTGCTTAGCATGTGATGTTGTGCACCTGGGTATTTTCAGGTGGATTTATTTAGTACTGTATTTTGTAGAGATATTGCCCTTGATTTAGTAAAAATTTGCAATTTTTAACTTGTGTCACTCATAGCTCAAAATGTATTTGACCTAGAGTCATGAAACTTTACAGGAATGTTACTCAGCATGTGAAGTTGTGTACCTGGGGTTTCGCATGTGAATTTACTCTGTTTTGTCAAAGTTATTGCCCTTGACTTAGTAGAAATTTGCAATTTTCAACTTGTGTGGCACATAGCTTAAAAAGAATTTGATCAAGAGTCATGAAACTTTATAGGAATGTTGTTCAGCATGTGAAATTATGAAACTGGGGTTTTGCTTGTGAATTCGTTCTGTTTTGTCAGAGTAATTGCCTTTGACTTAGTAAAAATTTGCAATTTTCAAATTGTGATGCACGTAGCTCAAAAAATATTTAACCTAGAGTCATGAAACTTAACAGGAATGTTGTCAGCATGTAAAGTTGTGCGCTTGGGGTTTTGCTTCTGGATTTATTCTGTCTGTCAGAGTTATTGTCCTTGACTTAATGAAAATTTGCAATTTTCAAATTGTCTTGTGCGTAGCTCAAAAAGCATTTAACCTAGAGTCATTTAACTTTATAGGAATGTTGTCAGCATGTGTAGTTGTGCACCTGGGATCTTGATTGTGGACTATTAAGTATTTCTAGAGTTATTACTCTTGACTTATTAAAAACGGTTCCATTATGTTGTGTTATGTGTTCCTTGAGTGCTTGAGTTAGAATCAATCAACTTTACAGGAATAATGACCAACATCACTGGGAAGCTATACACCTAGGGTTTTGTATGTGGATTTTTTTCAGTTTTGTTAGAGTTATTGCCCTTGACTTCATATAAATTTGCAATTTTCAACTTCTTCATGCATATCTCAAAAAGTATTTGATCTCTAGTCTAGGTCTGAAAGTTAACAAGAATATTGGTCAACAAGTGTACTTATGCACCTTGGTGTTTGCTTGTGGATTTATTCAGTATTTGTAAAGTTCTTGCCCTTTACTTAGTAAAATTTTTAGTTTTCATCTTGAAGCACATGTAGCCAAAAATATTTGACTAAGAGTCATAAGATTGACAAAACAGTGGAGTGTGGGGGCTCCTGTGTATTTTTAGAGTTTTTGCGGACTACTTCTCTTATACCAGTAATGCAATTTGAACAAAACTTTACCGGATTGATCGGTATTTCAAGCACTTGTACAAATAACACAGGTTTTCCAGTTGAATGATTTTTGGCTGAGTTATAGTCCTTTAAAAAAAGGCATTCTGACCACTGAGTTCCAAAACGCTAAAAATTTGAATTTCTTACATAGGTAAGATGGGGAACTTAAGAACTTAAAACAGAAAGATATGTATACACAAGATATGTAGAAATATACTCTGAAATAAACTGAAAATGGTATGTTTGTGTTATTAACTTAATATGCCCGTCCTTATTCGAAGCTTTGCTTTGCTGCTGTCTGTCGGTCCACCAACAGTTTCCGTTCATTTTCTTCACAAAGGTTGCCGATACTGAAATGAAATTTAGTATACAGATTTATCATGAGAATATCTAGTTCAAGTTCTTTTTTGAGTATGACTGAGAAATTTTTGAAGAGTTATAACCTATGCAGTATGCACTTAGAAAAATTCTAATTATTTTACAGTTTCCGTTCATTTTCCTTGCAGAGGTTACACATACCGAAATGAAATTTGGTATACAGATTTATCATAAGAATATTTAGGTCAAGTTCTGTTTTGAGTATGATTGAGAATTTTTTAAATAGTTTTGACCCATGGACTTAGAAAAATTCCAATTATTTGCCTTCTGCTCATTATCTCTGCAAAAAGTTGAACTAATTATTTACTGATATAGATGTCATGAGAAACATGTTTTTGTCAAAGATGTGATTTAGAAGACTATTTCTTGAATGCTCTTAAATTTAGGTATCTAGGATACAAGTCCACAATACTTTACCTACAAAGGTCATCTAATTAAATGAAATAAAGAATACAAAAAACATCAGGTTGATTGAATAATTTTATTTTATATATATGGTTATTGATAATAATTTATAATTTAGAAGTACAGTCAAATCTGGCTAATGGTCTATATGTCAACCAAGGTTTGTGCAACCTATAATTCAAAGACTTTTTAGCTTAGACATGTCATACTTGATAGGTTGATGCATCTCAAATAGTACTGGTAGATGACCCCTATTGATTTTAAGTTCAAAAGGTAAATTTCATTTCCACGTACACTGCCCATAATGTATACTGCCGGGCAGGGGAAGGGCATGTGCAAAAATAGTCATTCCGGAAAAAACAGCAAATAATCTGAAATTTTGCACACAAGTTATTGGTCTTGACATACATTTGTACATCAAATGGAATATTAATATCAAAATATTATTTCCAGCCTCGAGCTAGGATCACGTCTTTGTTGTCTGTCAGTCCATCCATCTGTCTGCAGTACCGAAAAGGGCCATCTAGCTGTGAACAGAACAATAGAATCCATTCTGTAACAATAAATAAGAGCTGACAGTCCTTTAATCAAACAATAGAAAATAACATAAGAAATGGATCCTTATTCCAGTTCGAACGCACATCCTTTATGAGAAATATTTTTACATTCTGATTCAGTGCAACTCTCTTCAGATAATAAGCATGATTGTACATACTCTTAAACTATTATTCTATTTTTAAACATTTAAAAACCGTTTTTAAATAAAGGAAATTTGTTTTTTACTGAGGCATAAAATGCCTTTAAGTACACTTTAACTAACTACAACATTTCAAATTATAATCAAATTAATTTATTACAATTTATTGAAATAATAGCATTGGGGTCAAGATTGACCTAACCCCAGGCATCATATGATTACATATAATTGAAAACAGACATTTTATATAAACTTTTATCATAGAGCCTTATTTGTTATCCAATATTATAACCATTTGGAATAAAGACACCATGCATGAACCTGTACCAATAATTGGGGTTAATGTGAGGAAGGCAAAAAACATACAGAAATCTAGTGTGATGTTCACGCTGGTACAAGCACGAGATGAAAGAGTTTGCATACTCATTTGAAAGTAAAATGCAAAGTTCAAATAAATTTTTTTATGTGTGTGCTTTTTTTTTCAGACAGGATATATTGTGTGATGTGGTTCTTGTGGCAGATAATGTTGAAATACCGTGTCATAGAGTGGTGCTGTGTGCCTGTAGTCAGTATTTCTACGCAATGTTTACTGGAGACTTAGCAGAGGCTAAATCTAACAGAATAACTCTACAAGAAATAGATCCTACAGCATTAGTATTGTTGATAGATTTTGTTTATTCATCTGAGATTCAAGTTACAGAAGAAAATGTTCAGGTACAGATATTTTAATATGTAACACACTTCTGACAAGAAAAGAGAACCATTATTAACATAATAGGAAGCCAATTAAGTTTTCATTGCATTTTCTGTGTTATTTTTGAAGAATGTTTATGGTATCTAAAGTTATATTTGTACTTCTAAAACATGATAGAAAACTGAAAGAAAATGCAGGTTGTCCTGGATTTCTAAGAAAATTAGGACCATTTTCATAGACAAATGTATTACACATAAATAGATCATATGTTTACAGATAGTCTGGTACATTCCGACTGTTAGACAGTTCAATTAAGTGCATTTTAACTTGATATAAAAAGAAAATGTTTCTTGGACACAAAGCTGATGTAGAGGATATTTTTCTAGAAGTATAAATTGCTCACCTTGTTTATTTCAGACATTACTGCCAGCAGCTAATATTCTACAGATGACGGAGGTACGAGATGCTTGCTGCGAGTTCCTACAATCTCAATTACATCCATCAAATGCTCTAGGTATCAAGGCATTTGCTGATCTGCATGCTTGTACAGAACTGTTCAATTATGCTAATACTTATTGTGAACAACATTTTACGTAAGTGCATCATTCTTATCTTAATTGTCATTAAACGTCTTCAATACAGTAGAAGTTAAAACAATATATTCCAAGGCTTAAAGTATTTTTGAGTCTGAAACAAAATATAAAATGAACTTGTTATTTACATGAATAATGTCTTAAGTTGACTGTAGATAGATGTCCCTTTAGTGTGATCATTAAGTATTTATATTAATTAAATCTAATTTTAAGTTCTAAATTTAATAATATATCTATGTGACAATATGTGTTGTACCTTGCTTTCACATTCCAAGATTCATTCAGATTTCTAAAAGAAAACGTGTTTCTTGTCTACCAGAAGAAGATAATGTTATAAAGGTAAAACAAATCTAGACTTACAAAACTTGAGTGGTTGATATTGTTGTGTTTACATAATATTGTTGTTTGTTGATTTCAGAGAGTTATATCACTATGATGAATTTTTATCACTGCCGGTTCAGAATGTATGTAAACTTATCTGTAGTGATAGACTTACAGTCACATCAGAAGAACAGGTAATACATGATATATATAGGTAACACCACACTAGAATAATATACAGTTATTTCATGGGTGTTTGTGGAACAATCAAAACTGTTGCCACAAGGTATCAGAGATGACATTTGGAACTGTTGCCAGAGGCCGAAGGCGCATGCACAGGATTTCAGCGATTCAATTAAACAGTTGTAAATAAGAAATTAGTATTTAAAGAAGACATTAGGTAATAATATAAAATAAAGAGATAGCTATAAGATTCCTTTATCTTTCCTCTCAGACACAGTAGCAATTTTGTTGTGATATAGTTTCAGTATGACAGCTACACTTGGTTGTCAAGGAAGACGATAAAACAAATGTAACAACAAAATATGCATTACAAAATGAAGAAGAAAAGATTTTTTTTTCAAATATTTCATTTTATTTTAATTTTATTGTAAATGATGATAAAGAAACATGAAATTTCAATATCCCTTCTATCTGGCTAATTATTGAGAGGCGATATATGTACAATGCACAGGAGTAATATATCAGTAAATGTAAATTGTTATTATGACTAAACGATATTGTAGGTATTTGAAGCAGTATTATCATGGGTAAATCATGACATTAGTAATCGTCAGGAGCTAGTATCTCAATTGATAGAGAATGTGCGTCTACCTCTCATGACGCAGGAATATCTTGTGCAGCGTGTCGAGGAAGAACCTCTCATCAAGTCAAACAGCCGGTGTAAAGATTTTCTTATAGAGGCCATGAAATATCATCTACTTAAAGGGGAACAAAAGGCAATATTCCAGACACCTAGGACTATACCTAGGACACCACTAGGTCTACCAAAGGTTGGTTATTGTATTTTTATGTCATCAGAGCATATGGTGAACTTTTGTTGCTGCCTGATGTCCAGTTTTCTTTTAAGTTTCTTCAATAACATCTCTTTCAAACCAATAAGTATATTTTAACCAAATTTCACAGGAATGGTTCTTCTGTATATTTTATAAAGGGAACCATTGTACAGCCCTTTGATTGTTTTACAAAGTAACCCTTTTTAAATGATTTTATTCAAATGCTGATGTATGACTTTTTCTGTTTCTGTGATACTGAAAATCTTATCAAAATACTGTCAGACAGTAAAAACTTTAAAATGTTCTCTTTCTTATGATAAATAGTTAAATTTCTTGCATATGTTAGTTGAAAATTACAAGATATTTTAATAATTTATTTGCATTTTTTCTTAAGGTTATGTTAGTAATAGGTGGTCAAGCACCTAAGGCTATACGTAGTGTGGAATGTTTTGACTTCAAGGAAGATAGATGGTTTCAACTTGCTGAGATGCCCTCTAGAAGATGTAGATGTGGTATATATAACTTTTATTCTTCTCCTTTATTATTCAAGCATACAGATTTGCATTAAATCATGTTTTTATTACTTGTATTACGATAGAATCAAATACTTCTAAATGACAGTGATATATGACTTGAATCCCATACTGGATATTAAATTCTTTCTTACATGGAATCCCTTCAGCTAGCTTGAGGACAGTAACTGTTGATAGTTGTGATAGTTTTGACTTGTTCAACAATTGTACTTAGAGACAGCACAAGAGAACAGCAGGGGTTCTATACTGTGTGTGAAGCAGGAAACTCCTGTATTATGATAATACATTGTATTTTGAGTATGTTTGTCAATTTAATATCCAATCATGTCAGTCTAAAAAAATTTTGATAATAAATTGCACCCTGTAACATTCATATGGAAAATTTTCATCTTTACTTGTTGAAGAAGACCTTCAGCATTAGCTAGCTGCTACAAAGCCAAATTACAGATATATTGCAATGGAATTTTTAAACCTTGACCATGCTAAATATCATAAGTGGACTAAGTCTAGTTCATTTTTCAAATTTGACAAAATTATTCATCATTTTTAAGGAAAATTTTAAGTGAAGTGCTGACTGAATATCAAACATGTACAGCATAATTATGATCAAACATGCCAGCTGATTTAGGTTTGCACTAGTTGCAGGGGTAAAATCTGCTGTGGCCAACAGGCTAATAGTTAATTGATTATTTTACTATTATAGGTGTAGCATTGATTAATGGTTCAGTATATGCTGTTGGAGGGTTTAATGGATCTCTGAGAGTAAGAACTGTAGATATGTATGACCCATTGAAGGATGTATGGACGGCCTGTCCTAGTATGGAGGCACGAAGAAGTACACTAGGTGTAGCTGTCCTAAATGATCTCATTTATGCTGTTGGAGGATTTGATGGTGCTTCAGGTATATGTAACGAAGTTGTAAGGGGGGTATACTGGAATCAGCTTGTCCTTCCGTCCGTCTCCCCGTCCGTCGGTTTTTCCTTGTCCGCCCAATAACTTGAGATTCCTTTGGCCCACAGTCTTCATATTTGGCATGGAGGTTAGTCATGATTAGTAGATGACCCCTATTGATTTTGAGGTCACTGGGTCAAAGGTCAAGGTCACAGGGGCCTTGACTAAAAAAACCTTGTCCGCCCAATAACTTGAGATTCCTTTGACCCACAGTCTTCATATTTGGCATGGAGGTTAGTCCTGATTAGTAGATGACCCCTATTGATTTTGAGGTCACTGGGTCAAAGGTCAAGGTCACAGGGGCCTTGACTAAAAAAACCTTGTCCGCCCAATAACTTGAGATTCCTTTGACCCACAGTCTTCATATTTGGCATGGAGGTTAGTCATGATTAGTAGATGACCCCTATTGATTTTGAGGTCACTGGGTCAAAGGTCAAGGTCACAGGGGCCTTGACTTTAAAAAGCTTGTCCGCCAAATAACTTGAGATTCCTTTGACCTACAATCTTCATATTTGGCATGGAGGTTAGTCGTGATTAGTAGATGACCATTATTGATTTTGAGGTCACTGGGTCAAGGTCACAGGGACCTTGACTAATAAAAAGCTTGTCCGCCCAATAACTTAAGATTCCTTTGGCCCACAGTCTTCATATTTGGCATGGAGGTTAGTCCTGATTAGTAGATGACCCCTATTGATTTTGAGGTCACTGGGTCAAAGGTTAAGGTCACAGGGGCCTTGACTAAAAAAACCTTGTCCGCCCAATAACTTGAGATTCCTTTGACCCACAGTCTTCATATTTGGCATGGAGGTTAGTCATGATTAGTAGATGACCCCTATTGATTTTGAGGTCACTGGGTCAAAGGTCAAGGTCACAGGGGCCTTGACTAAAAAAACCTTGTCCGCCCAATAACTTGAGATTCCTTTGACCCACAGTCTTCATATTTGGCATGGAGGTTAGTCATGATTAGAAGATGACCCCTATTGATTTTGGGGTCACTGGGTCAAAGGTCAAGGTCACAGGGGCTTTGACTTTAAAAGGCTTGTCTGCCCAATAACTTGAGATTCCTTTGACCCACAATCTTCATATTTGGCATGGAGGTTAGTCGTGATTAGTAGATGACCATTATTGATTTTGAGGTCACTGGGTCAAGGTCACAGAGGCCTTGACTAAAAAAAAGCTTGTCTGCCCAATAACTTGAGATTCCTTTGATCCACAGTCTTCATATTTGGCATAGAGGTTAGTCGTGATTAGTAGATGACCCCTATTGATTTTGAGGTCACTGGGTCAAAGGTCAAAGTCACAGGGGCCTTGACTAAAAAAAAGCTTGTCCGCCCAATAACTTGAGATTCCTTTGACCCACAGTCTTCACATTTGGCATGGAGGTTAGTCGTGATTAGTAGATGACCATTATTGATTTTGAGGTCACTGGGTCAAGGTCACAGGGGCCTTGACTAAAAAAAAGCTTGTCCGCCCAATAACTTAAGATTCCTTTGGCCCACAGTCTTCATATTTGGCATGGAGGTTAGTCCTGATTAGTAGATGACCCCTATTGATTTTGAGGTCACTGGGTCAAAGGTCAAGGTCACAGGGGCCTTGACTAAAAAAACCTTGTCCGCCCAATAACTTGAGATTCCTTTGACCCACAGTCTTCATATTTGGCATGGAGGTTAGTCATGATTAGTAGATGACCCCTATTGATTTTGAGGTCACTGGGTCAAAGGTCAAGGTCACAGGGGCCTTGACTAAAAAAAGCTTGTCCGCCCAATAACTTGAGATTCCTTTGACCCACAGTCTTCATATTTGGCATGGAGGTTAGTCATGATTAGAAGATGACCCCTATTGATTTTGGGGTCACTGGGTCAAAGGTCAAGGTCACAGGGCTTTGACTTTAAAAGGCTTGTCTGCCCAATAACTTGAGATTCCTTTGACCCACAATCTTCATATTTGGCATGGAGGTTAGTCATGATGAGTAGATGACACTTATTGATTTTGAGGTCACTGGGTCAAGGTCACAGAGGCCTTGACTAAAAAAAAGCTTGTCTGCCCAATAACTTGAGATTCCTTTGATCCACAGTCTTCATATTTGGCATAGAGGTTAGTCGTGATTAGTAGATGACCCCTATTGATTTTGAGGTCACTGGGTCAAAGGTCAAAGTCACAGGGGCCTTGACTAAAAAAAAGCTTGTCCGCCCAATAACTTGAGATTCCTTTGACCCACAGTCTTCACATTTGGCATGGAGGTTAGTCGTGATTAGTAGATGACCATTATTGATTTTGAGGTCACTGGGTCAAGGTCACAGGGGCCTTGACTAAAAAAAAGCTTGTCCGCCCAATAACTTGAGATTCCTTTGATCCACAGTCTTCATATTTGGCATAGAGGTTAGTCGTGATTAGTAGATGACCCCTATTGATTTTGAGGTCACTGGGTCAAAGGTCAAAGTCACAGGGGCCTTGACTAAAAAAAAGCTTGTCCGCCCAATAACTTGAGATTCCTTTGATCCACAGTCTTCATATTTGGCATGGAGGTTAGTCCTGATTAGTAGATGACCCCTATTGATTTTGAGGTCACTGGGTCAAAGTTCAAGGTCACGGGGCCTTTACTTAAAAAAAGCTTCTGACAAAGTGGTATGCGGGGGTATTCACGCCATGACAGTGGCAGTTCTAGTTAGACTAGAAATAATGATAAATCATTTTACTTGACTGTTACCTGTACACCCTGGTATGGCACAACAATTATAGTTTTTGCATGCAATTCCTTATCTCATTTGCCACTGAAAGTATTCATCTGTAATTTCAAACATATTGGAAGGATCAGTAGCTCCAGCAGGGAATTTAACATGTTATATTCATTTATAAACTTGGAATATTTTTCCATAATCTTTAAAATAGCTCACTAGTTTTACAATCAAGCACTTTAAATAGTTGAGTCAATCTTTTGTTCACGGTTCAAGAATACCTTTCAGTTATGTTAAAAAAATAGACTATTCTACGTTGTATTATTTACTTTAAACTTCAGGACACAAATTTAAACAATATAATTCTAGTCAATTATGATAAGCAGGGTTTCTATTATGCTCCTGAAGGGTAGCATATTAAAATCGCATCGTCTGTCTGTCTGTCTGTCTGTCCAGGCTACCAAATAGGGATAGAGGGCCATCTAACTGTAAACAGAACAAAATAGAACAATAGAGTTCATTCTGTAACAATAGAGTAAGGTGACATTGGCCCTCAATTAAACAAAAGGAAATAACATAAGAAATGGCCCCTTATTCCATTCGGCAGGACGTCCATCTGCGCCCCCACTTCATTTGTGCCAGACTGTAACTTTGTCACACATTGAGGGATTTTGAAATAGCTTAGCACAAATGTCTACCACATCAAGATGATTTGTCGCATCCAAGAATTATATCCCTTCCTCAAAGGTCAAGGTCACACTAACATTTTGAAGTTTCACATTGTCACAATTAGAGTTAATAGTTACACACATTCGTGTCCGGACTGTAACTTTGTCATGCATCTATGGATTTTAAAATAACTAGGCATAAGTGTTAATTAAGATGTGTTGGGTCCTAGAATTATGTCCCTACCTCAAAGGTCAAGGTTACACTAACATTTTGAAGTTTCACATCACAGAGTTAATAGGTATGCACAATCGTGTCCAGGCAGTAACTTTGTCATGCATCGAAGGATTTTAGAATAACGTGGCATAAATGTCTACCACATCAAGATGATGTGACAAGTCCAACAATCATGTCCCTACCTCAAAGGTCAAGGTCACACTAACATTTTGATGTTTCACTTTATCACAATAAGAGTTTATAGGTACACATATTTGTGTCTGGACTGTAACTTTGTCATGCATTGAAGGATTTTAGAATAACTTGGCGTAAATGTCAACCAAATCAAGACGACACGTGCGTCCAAGACCCATAACCCTACCATAAAGATCAAGGTCACACTTATAGTTTGAAGGTACTCATTCTCTCGAGAAGAGTTTGAAGATACTGTATAAGTACTGTATAAGTACTTAAATATCATGTTTGTATGATTTTCGCTTACCCTAAGCTTGATTTTTTTGTAAAATAAAACTATTATAGTGTGGCGCATGCAATAAACATACTCTTTTGTATTTGTACAATATCTTGTGTCTACGTGCGATTTTACCATTGTTTATTTTTCACACTTCATATTTATACACATGCAGTATAACAATTAATTGTTGTCATTGCACGTTGTTGATCTTTGTTTATTAATATTTATATACTGATACATGATGATTACGATAAAACACATAAGCAGTCGCCTGCATGTTTTCCGGACGTAATGTACATGTAACATCAACACATCTTGAAATGTTGTCTGTTTGTATCGGTTATTTTTTAAAAAAAATATCTAAATTAAACCGCAGAAATAAAAAACATCAATGCGAGAATGCAGACATAAGATACGCAGAAATTTAAAACTCCTTATTTTAACAAAAATCGCAGAATATTAAGCCTGCAGAAATAAGTACTTATCGGTACACATTTTTGTCCGGACTATAACTTTGTCATGCATTGAAGGGTTTTAAAATAACTTGGGTTTTAAAATAACTTGGCACAAATGTGTACCACTTCAAGACGATGTGTCGCGGCTTAGGCTCATGTCCGTCTGTCCATCCGTGCATCCCCACAACAATCATGTCCAGACTGTAACTTTGTCATGCATTGAAATAACTTGAGACAAATGTCTATCACATGACAATGTTGTGTCACATCCAAGAACTCGGTTCCTTCTTCAAAGGTTTAGGTCACACTTATATTTTGAAGGTTTACGTTATCACAATTAGAGATTATACATGTAGGTACACACATTCGTGTCCGGATTATAACTTTGTCATGCATTGAAGAGTTTTAAAATAACTTGGCACAAATGTCTACCACATCAAGATGACATGTTGTATGTAAGACCCATGTCCCTACATCAAAGGTCAAGGTACTTATGCTCATAAGAAGAGTTTGAAGGTACACATTAGTTTCCAAACTGAAACATTGTCATGCATTGAAGGATTTTAAAATAACTTGGCATAAATGTCTACAACATCAAGATGATGTTTGGCATCGAAGACCCTTGTCCCAAGATGTTAAGTTTGCCTTAAATAGCACTTCATTTCACAAGAAAAATATTAAGCATTAGTTACTTTCATTGTCTTTTCTTTTCATAATACCTGCATGCTTCAGAAACATGTTTCATTCACAACTCACTGCTGGGGTTAGAATTATACTAGGTTAAATATTAAATAATGATTTTGGTGCCTTAATGTGATTGTAGGTCTGAATACAGCCGAGTGTTTTGATGTACGTTGTGGTGAATGGAGAATGATTGCACCAATGAGTACAAGGAGAAGCAGTGTTGGAGTGGGAGTTCTCAATGGTAGCATACATGTTTTTCTCTAATGCTCTATATATTTTACTTCTTTTCATATTTGTATAAATCTGTTAAATAATAAATTATATATTGAATACTTGTTAGGTAGCTGGTATTTGAATTATTGTAACAAACAAGCATAATATCCAAACTGTCCCCAACCAGGTGTTAAAAACTAGTATAATGAGTAATAAGTGTTGTTAAATGTTATTACTTAAAGTTGAATTTCTCTTTTGCCTTTCTCAATCTTCATTGGTGCAATAACTGGTAAAGACACCCAGAAACCAAGGCACTTTGCAGGACTTGAAAGAACTATTTCTAAGTACCCAAAAAGAGGTTTAGAATTAATGATTAAACATGTAAAAGGAGTTTTCTTCAGAAAATGATTGACATTTATTTAAAAACAACACAATGTCCATTAAAATATTATGCTGAAGGGAATGCAATATAACAGCAGAAATAAAACATCATTTTAATCTAAACATTCTGCATGAGTATACCAAATACATACATGTACCATATAATATACATAGTATATGGATCAACATATGAGCCGCGCCATGACAAAACCAACATAATGCGTTTGCGACCAGCATGGATCCAGACCAGCCTGCGCATCCGCGCAGTCTGATCAGGATCCATTCTGTTCGCTTACAAACCCTATTACAAGTAGAGAAACTGATAGCGAACAGCATGGATCCTGATCAGACTGCGCGGATGCGCAGGCTGATCTGGATCCATGCTGGTCGCAAACGCATTATGTTGGTTTTGTCGTGACACGGCTCATATGTGATGCCAAATTTCTCATAAAACACTATTTCAGGTTATGTGTACGCAGTGGGCGGGTATGATGGCTCGTCAAGACAATGTCTCAGCTCAGTAGAGCGATATAATCCCAATGATGATACCTGGTGTGCTGTTGCTGAAATGTCGTGTAGACGTAGCGGAGCAGGTTTATATAACTACTTTCTTGAATAGAATTTCAGTGTAATAAAATGCGTATATGTATATCTGCTTGTGCAATAAATGGATAAAGATAATAATTACCTGAACATACTTTGCTTAATGGTCAGAAATATTTATATTATTTAGTACAAATATTGTCTATTAGATTCTTTCAGAAAATTGTAAGTTATGCCCCCATTTTATGCTTTTCTGAATGATAAGGTACAGCATATAGGTACCAATTTGTCCGCTACTCATGCTGTGTCTTATATAGCTGCAACATTTATTGACTAATATGTTTTGATATAATGATAACTACCACTCATTGGTTCATTCCATCTATTTGGTTAAGATCAGTACCTCTGAGGCTAAAATAGATTTTTTTATCTTTGTATAAGGGACATAGAGGAGCATTCATAGGTGTTACTGATATTGTTGTTTACTACTCTTTTGTTACTATTCTATAAACAATGAGTGAAATGAATTATACTGTCCAGCATTCATATCAACATGAGATGATTAAAGACAGTGTATGTAATCTATTTTCAGGTGTTGGTGTGGTGGATGGCCTGTTGTATGCTGTAGGAGGTCATGATGGACCACTAGTCAGAAACTCTGTAGAAATGTATAATCCAGAAACCAACTCCTGGACACAACTAGGAGATATGCATAGTTGTAGGAGAAATGCAGGTTTGTTATGGTTATTGAAAGTCTTATGACACTTCAGGCATTGGTTTTATGTCAGATGTGTCTTTTTGAAAATATGCTGAAAAACTATATTACAGCTAGTCCATTCAAACATAATTGTATGCATGTAGAATATCATAGAATGTCATATAAATTGTATGTAGATGTCTTCATGTAGGCCCAGTTTCAAAATAATCTGTACATACTAGTGAGATTTGCAACTTATAGTCATAACATCATTTTTAGCTCGACTATACGAAGTATATGGAGAGCTGTCCTACTCGCCCCGGCGTCCGCGTCCAGATTTCAGATTAAAGTTTTGGTGCAGTAAAATATTTTTCACTATAACTTTGTCATTTCTTAAGGAATCAACTTCAAACTTAAAATATATGTTCCTTATCATCAACCACATCTTATGTGACAAGGTTCATAACTCTAGCACCAATATTTTCAGATTTATCTCCCCTTGAACTTAGAATTTTCCTTAAAAAATACAATTTTTTACTGTTACTTCTTTATTTCTTAAGGGATCAACCTCATACTTCAAATATATGTACCTTATCATCATCCCCATCTTATGTGACAAGGTTCATAACTTTAGCACCAATATTTTCAGATTTATCTCCCCTTGAACTTAGAATTTTCCTTAAAAAATACTATTTTTTACTGTTACTTCTTTATTTCTTAAGGGATCAACCTCATACTTCAAATATATGTACCTTATCATCATCCCCATCTTATGTGACAAGGTTCATAACTTTAGCACCAATATTTTCAGATTTATCTCCCCTTGAACTTAGAATTTTCTTTAAAAAATATTATTTTTTACTGTAACTTATTTATTTCTAAAGGGATCAACTTCATACTTCAAATAAATGTACCTTATCATCATCCACATCTTATGTGACAAGGTTCATAACTCTAGCACCGATATTGCAAGAATTATCTCCCCATCAACTTAGATTTTTTTACTAGAAAAATGTTATTTTTTACTATAACTTTTTTAGTTCTCAAACTTCAAATACTTATTCCATATAATCAATTATATTTTATGTGACAATGTTAATAACTCTTGAAGTAATTTTTACAGATTTATCTCTCTTTGAACTTAGGATTTTCTTTAAGAAATATTATAACTTTGTTACTTTTTAAGGTATCTACTTCAAACTTCAAATATATACTTCTTATCATTACATACATGTTGTGTGACAAGGTTCATAACTCTAGCGTGACTATTTCTAGAATTATTTCACTTGATCTTGGAATTTATTTTTAACAAATGAAAGTTGCCATATGACAATTATCTGTATATCCTACAACATAACTAATATATAAAGAAAAAAAGAGCAAGAAAAGAAAGAAGTTTAATGTTTATATAACACAGGTGTGGTAGCAAATGGAGGATACCTGTATGTAGTGGGAGGTGATGATGGATCTTCAAATCTAGGATCAGTTGAGTGCTATGACCCTAAAGCTAATGCTTGGACATTGTTATCATGTAGTATGATGACTGGGAGAAGTTATGCTGGGGTAACTGTTATAGATAGACCTACTTACTAGAACTTTTATCATCCAAATCTAGTGGGCTATAATACTCACCTCTACACAGATGTGCTTCTATCAACAGAAAGGTATTCAGTATTCAACCATGTGGCACTGATAACACTTGCACCAGACTTGACTTTGTAAATGTTCTTCATTTGTTTGGAGGCTTTAACAGTTTATATCATGGTGTCCATATGTAATTTCTGTACCTTCTTGATGGATATTCACACATTAGTAAAACCTGTCAAGTGCTGGCTGATACCCAGTGGAAATATGTACTGGAATGTTGGATGCAGCAAGTACTGGTTGTGATAGAGATAGAGTTAATTGTGTATATATAACTTATTATTGTGGGAATATCAATATGCTTGCATGCATTTACACATTGTTAACCATCTTCAATCACACAGCTATTATATCTGGGGTTAATTATAACGGCTACATAAGATGTTTTTTGTTGGTAATATAGATTTTTCTTTTGCCAAAAGTAATAACTATCATGTATTTTTGAAGTAATTAGTAAGAATTGATGTGCAGTTATTATCTTTGATACTTTGTGTAGTAAAGTGAATGTGAGGGAAAAACTGTTTATCATTCTGATTGTTGAATGTCATCTGGCACAAAAATGTCATCTCCAGTTGAATATATTGTTTATAATTTTACAATTTCTCTGTAAAAATGTCTGACAATCAGATTTGTTCTTGAGAAGATATAAGAAGATGGTTATTAAGAAAATGACATGAGTTTAGCTTACAGCTAAAACGTAGGTTGTATTATTGAATATCCTAAACATTGTGCTTGCATTTTTATATGCCCAAAAGAATTTCGGGCATATTATGTTATACCCCCTGGCGTCCGTCCGTCCGTACAAACCCAGAGGTACTTGTGTGACTTGAAGAACAATGGGTAGCAGTAAATTCTCTTTGATCCTAATCATTCCGTTTTTACTTGAGTGTCTTTTTTTTAAGCCTTGTGTGACTAAAAATGGCTAAAAAGATCAAAGAACCACATAAGTACTATTTGATAAGTATGTCCGTCCGTCCCTTAGCAATTTGGTTTCCGGAGCATAACTAAAGTTCCATTTGGCCCACAATATTCAAACTTCATAGTATGATTGTCCATATTGGGTAGAAGACCCTTATTGATTTTGGGGTCACAATGTCAAAGGTCAAGGTCACTATTACTTTAAAACTGAAAACAGTTTCTGGAGCATAACTTAAGTTCCATTTGGCCCACAATATTCAAACTTCATAGGAGGATTGTTATTTGAGGGAGGTAATACTTTATTTAATTCCCATGTCTTACAAATGCTTCATCTTTACTTAAAAAAAACTCACTTTCGGGCATATAATGCCTCGCCTAGCAGTGCTCTTGTTTGTTTGTTTTTTGACATGCTGAATTGTTATTTGATATATGGTTGAACCTCTCGCCATAAGATTGTTGTTTGATAAAATTGGGACTTTTATTTGTGGATTTCAGCTTTAGAATGACATATTGACATTGTTGTTGAAGTGACATCAGCAGTTCAGACGAAAATTTAGGAAATTAGTAGGTGAATAGGTTTACACTAATTTAACATCTAAGCTATTTTAACATTTAAGTACAGTTATACATGTGATGTATTTGCTAATGTGAATTTGTTTTTATAGAAAGGAGTATGAAATACATTAGTGCTATTATTTTGCTATTTTTAGAAGCAGTGAGATGATCTCATTGTAACAAGTTTTAGCTTTATATATATGAGCCGTGTCATGACATTTCCAACATAGTGGTCAAATGACGTAATCGTAGAAACGCGACGTCAAAAGTGACGCCAATATTTCTTAATGATATAACGCGTGCTTTTCCAATCATCACTGTGTAGTTTTCAGGGAAAAATAATCTGATCTATCATTTTTCAGATATGTATATTAACACGTCAATTGCAAACTGATAATATGGTCAGTGAACAGAACATAGTAAACATCGACAGATATATGCAAGCGTCCGGCAATATACTTGTACATTCAAATATCTCTTTATCTGTATAAAGATATACTACACATCACGGTCAAGTATGCTTGGTTCGTTTTTGGCCCATTCGTGTTTGCCTATTCATTCGGTTTAACCCCAGCAGACATGCATTTACACAATTTTAGCGTATTTCATGTGTGAAGTACACATATTTTGAGTTTTATTGTTCTACCATACATTTGGCTATACAGAGAATAAAAAAAAATTTGCAATGGATGATTTGATCAGTTAAAGGTTTTGTGTTTTGCTTTTATGGCGAAACCTGATAATTTTAATTTAACAGTGTTGTTTTCTTTCATGTTTTAAAATGATAATCAAAAACCGAGATATTGTTAACCAGGTTTTCCGAAGGAAAAAACTGGTTATTAGATTGAGGTATGTCGGCGGGCGGGCGGGCGGACGGGCGGGCGGGCGTAAACAATTTCTTCTGTGCGCAACTCCTCCTACATTTCTCAACTGATTTTGACCAAACTTTCACAGAAGCTTTGTCATCAAGTGCCCTGGCGCATATTGTCGGGGTTTTGCGATTAGATAATATTTGACCTAATTATGGCCCTTTGTTTTTTTTCCTTATATAAAATATATAGTGAACAATTTCTTCTGTGCGCAACTCCTCCTACATTTCTCAATGGATTTTGACCAAACTTTCTCAGAAGCTTTGTCATCAAGTGCCCTGACACATATTGCCAGGGTTTTGCAATTGGTATATATTTGACCTAATTATGGCCCTTTGTTTTTTTTCCTTATATAGAATATATAGTGAACAATTTCTTCTGTGCGCAACTCCTCCTACATTTCTCAATGGATTTTGACCAAACTTTCTTAGAAGCTTTGTTATCAAGTGCCTGGCACATATTGTCGGGGTTTTGTGATTGGATAATATTTGACTGAATTATTTCCGAAGGAAAAAACTGGTTATTAGATTGAGGTATGTCGGCGGGCGGGCGGGCGGATGGGCGGACGGGCGGGCGTAAACAATTTCTTCTGTGCGCAACTCCTCCTACATTTCTCAACGGATTTTGACCAAACTTTCACAGAAGCTTTGTCGTCAAGTGCCCTGGCGCATATTGTCGGGGTTTTGCGATTAGATAATATTTGACCTAATTATGGCCCTTTGTTTTTTTTCCTTATATAAAATATATAGTGAACAATTTCTTCTGTGCGCAACTCCTCCTACATTTCTCAATGGATTTTGACCAAACTTTCTCAGAAGCTTTGTCATCAAGTGCCCTGACACATATTGCCAGGGTTTTGCAATTGGTATATATTTGACCTAATTATGGCCCTTTGTTTTTTTTCCTTATATAGAATATATAGTGAACAATTTCTTCTGTGCGCAACTCCTCCTACATTTCTCAAAGGATTTTGACCAAACTTTCTTAGAAGCTTTGTTATCAAGTGCCTGGCACATATTGTCGGGGTTTTGTGATTGGATAATATTTGACTGAATTATGGCCCTTTGTATATTTTTTCCTTATACAGAATATATAGAGAACAATTTCTTCTGTGCTCAACTCCTCCTACATTTCTCAACGGATTTTGACCAAACTTTCTTAGAAGCTTTGTTATCAAGTGCCTGGCACATATTGTCGGGGTTTTGTGATTGGATAATATTTGACAGAATTATGGCCCTTTATATATTTTTTCCTTATACAGAATATATAGTGAACAATTTCTACAGTGCGCAACTTCTCCTACATTTCTCAATGGATTTTGACCAAACTTTCACAGAAGCTTTGTCATCAAGTGCCCTGGCACTCACTAAATTCCCATGTTTCTTCCAAGACATCATTCAAATATTTTTTTAAAATTGTTAACATACTTTTCTTGATATCGCACAAAACACCACACGCCAATATTGTTGACAAAAGAAAATGACAAGAGACGCAAAAATGCAAAAATTAAGCAAAAATAAAGTACTGTTTACCTTTCTAAAACATTTGGGAAAAAAAGGCGAATAGACAACATAAAATTTCTCAATCATTTTTGTTTGAGGAATATTAAAAAAGCCATAATTCCTCCTAAAAGTTCAATTAAAAACAAATGCCCCTTCATGACAAAGCTTCTGTGAAATATTTTGCTGAAAACCTGGTTGCATCGCATTGCGATGTTCCTTGTGTTCAAACTTTCACAGAAGCTTTGTCATCAAGCACCCTGGCACATATTTTCGGGGTTTAGTGATTGGATAGTTTTTGACCTAAATATGGCCCTTTGTTTTTTTCCTTATACATAATATTATAGTGAACACTTCTTCAGTGGCAATTCCTCCTACATTATTCATGTTTTACATTGCACATAGTTACATTGTTTGTTGCTTGTATTTGTATTTCAAATACAACATATTTATCTACAATGGTGATAATTGAAAACCTGGTTTCATGGCATTGCCATGTTTCTTGTTTAAAAAATGTTTTAATAAATTAGGAATCAAACGTACTACCTCTGTAATCCACCCACTAAGCTACCTGTTTAGGAATTACTGTTGCTTAACGATAAGATATTTTTTGTCAACAGTTTGGGCTGTTACTTGAATTAATTATAGCTGTCATATGTTGCTGTACAGATCTTAATATCCGTCCCCAGGGGACTCGCCAATCGGCAGGTTCCCAAAGGACGAATATTCCAATCCGATTGGAAATTTATGTCCTTACACCCGTAACTATTTTCGTACAGTAGCGTATGAAATTACAACTTCATTCACAACGGCGAAATAACGTCATCTAAAGCATGCCATTGTATAGCACGCAACTCATCTGGCACCCCGATGACAGATGAAATATCCGGCATGGGTAAAATTAATTGAAACACCAGTCTGATATGCAAGAAATACTCTGTCAAATCATTGTAATAGTTTATGTTTATAAATAAAAGTCTGGGTTTCTATTTAGTGATATAAAACCCATAGTATTCGGAGTATATCACTCATAGTGTTGTTAATATAGCTTTGCCGATTTTTTTGTGGCCTACGTATTAAGTTATGATTCCGTAAGTTTCCCTATAAATGTATTGTGTATCTTGTTCTTTCAAAGCATATTTCTCTATTCAATGACAATTACTGCACTAAAGTAATGTTTTTCCTCCGCGATGATGACATTATTCCGCTGTTAAACTCATTTTTTTAAGTAACAACTGCGCTGATAAACTTTTTCGGGAAACCTTTAACCCTTGACAGACATTTGCTCAATTGTATTTAAAGTACCATAAGAAAGAGAAATTTAATTTCATCTATTCAAACGACACTTGATATATTGTCCTTTCGACAGTGAACACTTTCAGGGCTTACTTACTTAAAGTAATTAGACAATAATCCCATTTAGTCTTTCGATTGTTATTTTATTTCCAATGTCAAGTTGTTTTCCAAGTATTTCTCTTTAATCATATAAAAGTATATAGTAACATGTAGGGGCTGATATACATTATATAAATCAGAATAAACACTTTAATGTCAATAGAATAAGGAAGATTTTACATTATGTTGGTATCATTATTTAACTTAACGGACATAAAATAATAAGAGTATATAATTAAGAGACAATTGTTCTGTTAAGTGAATGTGAGTAAGACACTTGAAGTTGTTGAAATACATTCCTGCTTTAGATAAAATTAAATGGGAAGAGAATAAACCGAAATAATTTTGTCTTGTTTTATAATAATTATTGCAATACCAGTTTTGGTCTCTGAGAATAGGGCATCGTAAATTGTTGAAAGAAGCCGGAAATGGATGATAATCAGGTAAAACTGAATGAAAATTGAGTGATTCAGACTCAATCGGATAATTTCAGTAAAATTGCAGCTATGTGCTGAATGACCTCGAAAAACATATTGTTATGATATTGTTAAAGCAGCATACCTTGTTTATTTTCATAACAATTCGGAAAATGTATTTAAAAGTACAATATTGTGAAGTGAACAAAGGAAGCAGTTTACACATTGCAAACAACACTTACAATCTACGTAAAATAGCCCCTACTGTATTATATTGTTGATTGCTTTGTTGTTTTTTTTTCAATATGGTATACATGTATACATATACATTTATATAATCACACAACGACGTGACAAACCATCAACATGTCCATACGCACTCGTGAAAAATAATTCTATTACTTCTTTGTGTGATATAACATAGCATTTTTACAGAACAACTAAATATCCTCTATTTACATGTACGCAGATTTTTGAGTAAAACGTTTACTATAACGCTGTCCTTGAACCTATCAGATGACTTTCGTATCGACCATTATTCCAAAACAATTTCTTGTAAAGAAGACGAATATTACCGAAGCTTGACTGAGCATTCAGATTTTTTACACCATATTTCTTCAGTGTTGCTAACACAGCAAGGGCTATTTTTTATATATCTAAAATTTTCATGAAAATTAGAGCAAAAATCTTGAACGTGTTGCTTTGAGGATATGTCACAGTTACGCAGTATTTAAATTGTATGTTTATATCATGTCTTGGAAATAAGATGATTCTTGAATGTATTCAAAAAGTGATATCTCATGTTTTATTTATTCCTGCAATTTTTTGAAACATAAATGTTGGTATTTCTGTTCACATTCATTACCTAAGTATTTTGACCTTATATAAGGATGGTTCCAAATACTATATTCAAAAATGCACATCGTATAATGATATATTGACATCATATATTGTTCAGTTGACTACATATAAAGATGGATCCACATAATATATTAATGAGTGCACATTGTATTCGGAAAGGTTGACTCAATATATTGCTAGTTGGACATAACAACGTTCAGGTTAGTCAAGGCTTTCCATATACTTGTATATGTCTATTCGTGCAACAAGTCTTTACATGTACTTAAGATGGCTTACAATTGACACGGTACTCTTTAACAATAAAAATGTGAGCTTCGTCGTTAGTAACGTTAATAATTTACATGCTAAGATACATGTATATAGGAGTATATGTCAAGCAAAACGATGATTCAGTTTATTCACGCTGCATTTTTAATCCGTCAAATAAAACGACGTCACTTATGTTAAAAAGCTTTATAAATCAAGTTTTCTTGGTCTAAAGATAATAAAATTTGTCTTGAATGATTTAGAAAAGATTGCATTTTGAGAATCTTTGAAAAAAGTAAAATGTCAAATTTGACCACTATGTTGGAAATGTCATGTCACGGCTCATATGTGACCTCTTATGCCTTTACTCTTTATCTTCCATGCTCTCTCTCTGTATATATTTATTGTTTGACCTGCTGAATTTGTTGAACCAGGGAAATCAAAATATATTGAAGTACCATCAGTATACAGCCCTGGTCAGACTGTATGGATATGAAGGCTAGCCAGGATAAAAACTATTTACTGTC